ATAGCAATTCATGAAAGAGGGTATTTATCTTAAACAGTGGCATATAATTGGATGAATATTTGAGTGCAAAATCAATAGTTGATTTTGTAATTATTTTATAATTGCTTATTTTATTACATTGGACCATGACTGATACGATAGCACAGTCAATATTCTAATAGTGGTAGCCAACATGTTTTCAGCATTTGCTAAATGTCAAACCTTACATTTATTATTTCATTTAGTTCTCTCAACAGCCCTGTGAGATAGGAAATATTATTTTCAATTTACAGATGGAAAACATCAGTGTGACACAGATAGTAAATGCAAAAAAGATTTGAAAGGAAAAGAATACAAAGTAATGTGGCAAGCAGGATCATGAAATATTTAAATATGTTTATATGTAGCATGGAAGATTTCTATTTTGTGGGAGCTTCCTAATTTTGGCACACAGTTTATAAAAATGTTATTTTTATAATTATTAATATTTATTAAGCATATACTATGTGTTAGGCATTGTGATGTTATAAGCCTTGTACACATGTTAGGTTGCTTAATTTTCCCAATAGCTCTGTAAAGAAGGGCAATTTTCTATCATTATCTTCATTCTTATAGACTAGAGCAGTGGTTCTCAACCTTCCTAATGCCGTGACCCTTTAATACAGTTCCTCATGTTGTGGTGACCCCCAATTTCATTGTTACAAATTGAACATAATGAAAGCATAGTGATTAATCACAAAAACAATATGTAATTTATATGTGTTTATCGATGGTCTTAGGCGACCCCTGTGAAAGGGTTGTTCGACCCCCAAAGGGGTCACGACCCACAGGTTGAGAACCGTTGGACTAGAGGAAGAAATTGATGTGCAATCATAGGATGACTTGTTTAAGAAAGTGACAGAGCAGGGATTAGGATCCACATAATTTGGCCCCAGTGTTCCTGTAGTTCTTAATACATTTGTGTGCTGTGTTAATAAATATTGTACAATGTGGAGATAGATCATTTTGTAGTGTTTCAATATACCAAACTCTCTTAGCCATGAAAGTGACTAAGCTTGAGATTTAATTAATGTTGTTTCTGGGTGTGTGTGTATCTTTCTTTTTATGGCCTCTGGCAGTAAAGTATAGATCCTCAAAGGCTTTACTCAGGCTGTGTGGAATGGGGCTGATTTATGTGTTAAATTATTAAGGCCTTGAGTTTATTAATTCTGATTAAACGCTTACCGGTACCTCTTTTTGTCCACTAAACTCCATTTTATTCCTGCTCATGGTTCAAAGACAGTATAGTATAGTGGGAAGAGCACAATTGGATTCGTATATCCTTGCATTTTAAACTCAGAACTATTGATTATTAGCTATGTGATCATAGACAAGTGACATATCCTTAGAATTTCCCTTTTTCTGACCTTCAAAATGGGGGAAATGAAACCTCAGATAGTTATAAGAAATACTTTGGATGATTTTATATGCTAAACTCTTTAATGTTTGCTATAGTACTAGGCATATGGCAGATGCTAAAAAGCTAACTGCTTTACCTCTTACTAAATGAAACATTTAAGTATCATTTCTTATCCTTGTTCAACTTCCTAGGAGAACTGTGCATGTGCCAAACACTGGTCGCTCTGACCTTTAGACTTTAAACCAGATTCTGTGGAGTTCCTAGATAAACTATAAGAAAAAAGGCATTAATTCTTTATGGCATTATGAGACTGTTTTGTTTCTAACTTTTACAGAGAGAATCCTCTGCTTTATTAAAAAAGAAAAAATGATAAGGAAGCTCCAGTTACTTGTATTTCTGGAGGTCTATCCTGAATTGATGAATGAATGAATACTCGAATGAATGAATGGCATGGTAGTTGGAAATGAAAAGGCAAGTAATGAAATCCTTGAGAAAATTGCCCAAGAGATAGGTTTTTTCTCCCTGAAATATTTCCATCTTCTCAGTGATGATGAAGACAGTGGCAATTTATGATCTGACTTTGGAACAGTATATTAATAGAAAAACAAATACACAAAAGGTCAGCAGTCTGCATATTTTGAGAACATTCTTTTAGGAATTCTGATTTGTAGCGTAATACTTTTATTTTAGGGAAATAACTAATGATAAAATAACAAAGACTCATGAATATGTTGAAATTGATTAAAGAAATGTCAAGGATGTGAAGGAAACAAATTTGAACATCATTTTTAAAAAATACATGTTTTTATTGATTTTAGAGAGAGTAAGGGAAAGGGATAGAGAGAGAGAAACTTCAATGAGAGAGAAACATTGATTGGCTGCCTCCTGCATGTCCCTCCACTGGGGACTGAGCCCACAACCCAGGCATGTGTCCTGATCGGAAATAGAAATAGCAACCTCTTGGTTCATGAGTTGACACTAAACCATTGAGCCATAAAGGCAGGGCTGAACATCATTTTTAACCCCTTCCCCAACAATTTTTTTGTTAAAAACGTTTCTTTTTCAGACTAATTTTTTTATTTTGGTTCTATATAGTATTTTTGATGCTGGTTATGAAAACAGTTTGTAACTCGTCTTCCTATAAACCATATTTTTTTAACATATTTTCTTAGTATACTCGTCGACGACTGAAAAAGAACATTTTGTGAAAACGAGTATACACATTTCTGCCGGGGAAGGGGTTAATGATGCAATTGTAATTTTAAAATACATTCCATAAATCATTTTTTTCCACAAATCAGCTTTGAGGTGTAACTTACAGAGCACAAATACACAAATTATAAGTCAAATCTGATGAGTCTGATAAAACACACGTTAATGTAACTGCTATTCTAATAAAAAAATAGAAAATTTCTATCACCTAGGAAAGTTCCCTTTGTGTTCTTTTGTAGTCAGTCTTCTGAGAGACAGCTAATGATCTAATTTCTGTCACCCTGCTCTAGAATTTTGTATAAATGAAATACACAGTGTGTATGCTTTAATGCCTATCATCTTTTGCTGAACATGTTTTTTTTTGTTTGTTTTTTTAAAATATATTTTATTGATTTTTTACAGAGAGGAAGGGAGAGAGATAGCTAGAAACATTGATGAGAGAGAAACATCGATCAGCTGCCTCCTGCACACTCCCCACTGGGGATGTGCCCGCAACCCAGGTACATGCCCTTGACCGGAATCGAACCTGGGACCTTTCAGTCCGCAAGCCGACGCTCTATCCACTGAGCCAAACTGGTTTCGACTGAACATGTTTTAAAAATTATTGTTTGTTGTTGTATCAATCGTTCATTCATTATTAGGGAATAGCATTCCACTGTGTGAATGTAGCACAATTTTTTGTCAGTTAACCTGTTGATGGAATTTTGGTTTGTTTACAGCTTTAGGCTGTTAAAAATAATTCTATGAAAATTTTTCTTAATGAATTTATTGGGGTGACATTGGTTAATAAAATTATATAGGTTTCAGGTGTATAATTCTATAATACCCTGTATATTGTATCTGTATATTGTATTTGTGTGTTCAATGCCCCAAGTCAAGTCTCTTTCCATCACCATGTATCCCTCCTGTACCATCTTCTACCTTCCCCCAACCTTCTTTCCCTCTTGTAATCATCATACTGTTGTCTGGGAATATGAAGTTGGTTTTTTTCCCTTAATCCCCTCACCTATTTCACCGAGTCCTACAACTCCCCTCTCCTCTGACAGCTGTCAGTCTGTTCTCTATGAGTCTGTTTCCATTTTGTTAATTTTGTTTATTTGATTCTACTCATGAGTGAAATCATATGGTACTTGTCTTTCTTTGACTGGCTTATTTCACTTAGCATAATGCTCTCCTCTTGCAAAGGGTAAGATTTACTTTTTATGGCTGAGTAGTATTCTATTGTGTAAATGTCCTATAGTGTTTTTATCCACTCATTTACTGATGGACACTTGGGCTGCTTCCAACTCTTGGCAATTGTAAATAACACTGCAATGAACATAGATAGGGGTACATATATTCTTTCTAATCAGTGTTTTTGTTTCTTTGGATACATTCCCAGAAGTAAAATCACTGGATCATAATGCAGTTCCATTTTTAATTTTTTGAGATAGCTCCATATTGTTTTCCATTGTGGTTGTATCAGTCTGCATTCCCACCAACAGTGCATGAGGGTTTTCTTTTCACCACATCCTTTCCAACACATGTTTGTTGATGATAGCCATTGTGACAGGCGTGAGGTGATATCTCATTGTGGTTTTAATTTGCATTTCTCTGATGATTAGTCACATTCAGCATCTTTTCATGTCTATTGACCATCTGTATGTCCTCTTTGGAGAAGTGTCTATTCAGGTTCTTTGCCCATTTTTTAAATTGGATTGTTGTTGTTTTTTGGTATTCAGTTATATAAGTTCTTATACATTTTGGATATTAACCCCTTATCACATGGATCCGTACCAATGAACCACACTGGCTCTGGCGGGTTGTCTTTTCATTTTGTTGATGGTTTCCTTTGATGTGCAAACATTTTTAGTTTGATGTAGTCCAATTTGTTTATTTTTTTCTTTTGTGTTCCTTGCCCAAGGTGATATATCAGAGAATATTGCTGTGGGAAATGCCTGAGATTTTACTGCCTATGTTTTCTTCTAGGATTTTAATGCTTTTGAGTCTAACATTCTATGACCATTTTTGTATAAGGTTTTTTGTGGATATGTTTTCACTAATCTCAGGAGAAATGGATAGACCATGTGGTAAATGTATGTTTAACTTTAGAAGAAATGCCAAATTGTTTTCCAAGTGATTATACTATTTTATACTCTCACCAGAAATGTGAGTTCTGGTAGCTGTACATTTTCACTTATGTCTTTTAACCATCTGTATGTCTCAGAAGTCACTTATACTTGTTATGGTTAGTCTCTTTAAAAATTTTAACTATTTTAATGGTTGTGTTATGGAATTTCATTTGATTTTAATTTGCATTTCCCTGAATAACTAATGAAGTCGAGCATGCTTTCATGTGCTATTTAGCCATTTGTGTATGCCCTTTTATAAAGTTTTTGAGTCTTTTACCCATTTTTAAATTGAGGTATTGGTTGATAGAACTTCTTGATAGAAGTTCTTTGTCAGATATATGTACTGAGAATATTTTCAGCTGATATATTGCCTTTTTATTTTCTTAATGATGTCTTTTGATGAGTTTTTAATTTTTATTAAAACCACATAATCTTTTTTTTGGTTTGTGATTTTTGTGTACTAGCTAAGAAATTTTTATCACAAGGTTGCAAAGGTATACTCTTATATTTTTTTTTAGAAGATTATAGTTTTCATTTTATGTTTAGGTTAATGGTACATTTTTTATTTGATTTATTTATACATTTTATATTTCTCAACTCATTGAACAAATATTTATTGAGCACCTGTTCATTGCTAGGCACTATTTTAGGCACTTTATGTCCATTAGTAAACAAAAACAGGTCACTCATGGTAGCTCCTTAGATAGGCCCTGCACTTGTGAAACCTACATTTTATAGTGAATGACAAATTAATAAATAAGTCAATTATACAGTATTTTAGAAGGCGAGAAAGAACCATTAGGTAGGGCAACAGAATAGGTAAAAGTAAAGGTGAGTAAGAAGGTTTGCAGTTTTAAGAAAGGGTGATAAAATTAGGCTTCATTGAGAATATGTCATTTAAAGAGTGAATTTAAGACGAGAAAATTAGCCATTCACCTATTTGAGGGAAGAATGTTCTGGGTAGAGAAAACAGCTATTACAAAGGTCTTAAGGTTGGAGCATGTCTCACATGTCCCAGTAACAGCCAGCAAGCCAGTGTAGTACAAGGTAATAATGGATAACGTCACAGAGCTAGGGGAGGACAAATTGTTTAACAGCGGTTCTCAACCTGTGGGTCGCGACCCCTTTGGTGGTCGACCGACCCTTTCACAGGGGTCGCCTAAGACCATCCTGCATATCAGGTATTTACATTATGATTCATCACAGTAGCAACATGACAGTTATGAAGTAGCAACGAAAATAATTTTATGGTTGGGTCACAACATGAGGAACTGTATTTAAAGG